GTATATTAAGTTGCATACACTTAAGGGGCAACATATTTTCTAAAGTTTTGCGTATTGGCTCCATCTATGAACTTCTTTGAAACTACCATAGTTCAGCCTTTTTGGCGCTGTACAAAAATTACGTCATTTTATCATCCCCAAAAGGCAACCAACTATACACAAAAATTAATTATCAATTTAAAATTAATTTAAATCTACAAACATTTCAATTACAGTATTACTTAATACAATATAATATTTAAAGTAATTTCTGCAATACATTTTGATACTTTCAATTTTCCAATAAATATGTAGAAATCTTATAGGATTTGACTTAGTTTCTTGCTTTACTTATCCCAAATAATTATTCATTGTCTTCTTTTTATGCAGAATCCAAATTAATTATGAATCAGGCAATTTTATTAATTTAACAACTTAATTATTTATTTATTATATGTGATCAAATTGAATATCCAATATTAGTCCTATTGGTTTTAATAATTGTTGAATGAATGTTGAGTTTATTGAATGAATGAATTACTTCTTTTATTGTACTTATTTTCTGACTTTTCTAAACTAGAAATGAGAGCAAGTATATTATAGAATTGTAATATGAGTGGAGAATCATACACATATGAATGATCAAACAACGAACGTAGAAGAGCAGAATGCATTACCAAATGAAGTAAAACAAGTATTGAGAACTAAATTATTTAGAACCAAATTGGTAGAATTTCTAAAAAAGTAAAAGGCAATACAACTGTAATAAACTTTTGTTGTAATTTTTAAATTTGAAGTTTTAGGCGGTTCTTCAGGTCACCTGGATACTTTTGGTCCGGCTCCGTTGGCGGAAATGCAATGGAGTCGCGGGCTTGAGTGTTTTGCCGGTCACGTGATCACAAGTTGCCGACATGGCGGACGACAAAGATGTTGTGGAGAAAACCATCGCCGAAGATTTGGTGGTTACCAAGTATAAAATGGCTGGGGACATTGTAAATCGTGAGTCTTTTATGGTCGAAACGACCGTCGATCGTTTGGGGGGCATTTTGGGGTCTTGGGACCTGGTGGGGGCCCGGCCCATATGGCCTCGTCCTGACCCAATCGTTATACAGATTACCATGTGGGTCTGAGAACAAGTACGTTTGTCCAATGCGCGTCCCTTAATCATATATTTTTATATCAGCTTCCCACGCAAAACTTTTCAGTAGTTTTCTTTTGAGGTTAATCAATGTTTAAATTATAATAAGGTCCAGTATCTTTTCATCTGAACTTTATTAACCTAAGTTTTTTTTATATGGTTTATTTATGAAATTGGAAAATTGGGTTAAATCTAGGCAGTGATTGATGTAAAGTACTGGTCCTTGAATGAATTGATTTGTGAGCACTTAGTAATTTAAGGTTCTTGTTTTCAGGTGTCCTCAAGCAGGTCATTGATAAGTGCATTGCTGGTGCTTCTGTGAGGGAAATCTGTGAGTATGGAGATAAGCTCTTGCATGAAGAAACCATTAAGGTGTTCAAGAAGGAAAAGGAACTCAAGAAAGGTATTGCTTTTCCCACTTCCGTGTCCGTGAACAACTGCATTTGTCATTATTCGCCGGTGCATAGCGAGGCTGACTACATCCTGAAGGCGGACGATGTAGCTAAGGTAGACCTGGGAGCTCACGTCGATGGATTCATCGCTGTGGTTGCTCACACCATTGTCGTTGGTGCAACGGCAGAGAAGAAGGTGACCGGCCGCAAGGCCGATGTTATCCTGGCCGCTCACAACGCCTCCCAGGCGGCGTTGCGTCTTCTGAAACCGGGTAACGAGACCTACACGATCACTGAATCTGTGCAGAAAGTCGCCGACTGTTTCAAATGCAAGCCCGTCGAAGGCATGCTCAGTCACCAGCTGAAGCAATTCAAGATTGATGGCGAGAAGACCATCATCCAGAACCCGAACGACGCCCAGAAGAAGGAACACGAGAAGTTCAAATTTGAGGAGCACGAGGTTTACGCCATGGACGTACTCGTCAGCAGCGGAGAAGGAATTGGTATATCTACCATCACATATAACCATATTTGAGCACGTCTTTTAAACCAAAACATTTCAGGTAGAGAATCCGACACCAAGGTCTCAATCTACAAGAAAACTGAGGAAATCTACCAGCTGAAACTGAAGGCGTCGCGTATGTTCTACAGCGAGGTCAGGACGAAGCACGGCATGATGCCCTTCAATCTGCGCAGCTTCGAGGAGGAGACCAAGGCGAAGATGGGAGTCGTCGAGTGCGTGAACCACAAGCTCATCGAACCGTTCCAGGTTCTGTACGAGAAACCAACCGAAATCGTCGCCCACTACAAGTTCACCGTGCTGCTTATGCCCAACGGTCCGCACAGGATCACGGGACTTCCCTTCGAGTCCGATCTCTACGAATCCGAGCACAGCGTGACCGACCCCCAACTACAGACGTTGTTGAACAGTTCTGCCAATCCCAAGTCTGGCAAGAAGAAAAAAAAGAAGACCGACACCGGGGCTAAGCCCATGGAAGTTGACGAAGCCGCTTAATCGGCAGGGAGGTACTCGTCTCTGCTGATATGGCTGATTAAGAAAAAAGCAAGAAAGAAAATTTTTTACTTGGCAATTTTTCCATTAAATATGGTTTTAATATTATTATCATTTCTCTTTTCATTCGTTTTTTTTTTACTTTAATAACGTAAACAAATTTGTTATGGCACTGCCCACCACCCTTCCCCACTCACCATCTGACTGCATCTTACTACCCACAACCTCCCAAAACTAGAATAATATAATCACATTTTTATGTTAACAATTTATGAATTTTTCTTCTCATTTGGTGTTCTTGCAATTATATTAATGTTACATTATTGCCAATTAGGAATGTACTAAGAGGAAAATAAAATATTTTTTCATAGTCTATATATATTGAGACCGGTAACGGAAAGATCTCTTGCTGCAATAAAAGAACAACTATCTTATTCACAAACCTTTGACCTTTATAGTAATTAAACACAAAACTTGGTTGCCTATACTAAATGAATGACTTAATATAATTATACATCATCTCAAGAAAAAGCAGAAACTTATTTGTTATAGACATTCTTTGAAATCATAATACGCCTGCAGAGAAGATCAACTTAAAAGTTTAAATATAAGCTGATTGATTAAATTTCCATTTAATTATTTATAATATGTTTGATCTACATATCAAGGAAAGCAATTTGGACAATATATTTTGTTACTACTTTTGATGATTTTTGATTTTCTTCCTAAAGTTAAATAAAGATTTATAATAAATTCGTAAATTAGGATTTGAATCTTAGGTAAATAGAATCTGAGCCTATATTATGGAAAGTTGAATAAAATTAAATAATTCTATGATCAAACATTATGTGCTATAAAACATGACAAATATTGAATGGATAAATAAATATTTACTTTATGTTTGTTTGGTCATATAATTTCACAATGAAAACTTGTATTTACTGTATTTTTTATAGACAACGTAATTGAACCTTGCAATCAGATTATGATATTATTTTTAATATCAATTATAGAATCGTGTAAATTGAGTGTAATGAGAGTTTTATTTTAATACGTAATTTGTTGTATCCATGCAGACGCGCAGCTGCGCAGCAAATGGTAGGTTAAAAATATTTCCTTCCCGTTGATTACAATTATTATATCATATTATCGTTTACTACAGTCATATTGAGCTTCCAGAAATATGGATTTGTTGCATGAATGCAGTAATTCTTCGATAGAGGAAATCGACTATGAAGATTCACAGAATTACAATACTGAGATTATTCACTTTAAATTTAGCGGTGATTTGGAAGTCATCCGCGGGAACCGCCTAAGTAAGTAAAGATATATAAATATTTATTTAACATATACTATGTAGATATGTACATGAAATGTCGAATTATTAATTTGTGTAGGGAGGTTTTATAGAGAAGAAGTAAATGTATCCATGTTCTTTTTTTTTTCGCTGAATTTTTAATATTATGATTCATATATTTGAACGCAGATCATGGTAATCCCAACCACAGGATATTCCAAGCCATGGGAAGATTGGATGGCAGGCTGTATATCATACACGAATACAGACTAGATGCGAAAGAAAACGTCTTAAAAATCGAGCTTCAATTCAAACAATTGTTGAATGCGAAACACCAAAATTTGGTCCACTACCTTAACATGCGTCATCAGATCAACGGAGACGTGTGCGTGCTGCAGATTCTGCAGGAATTCGTCAATGGTACATTTCAATGGAACCAAACGACATTGCGTTACAGTAAACTTTTTCAGGAATTAGTTTCAGCGAAATGTACAAGAACATGTCTCCAAGGAACAGGTTCCTGAGGGATATAGCTGAAGAACTGCTCGACGTCTTAGATTACTTGCACAAGAACAAAATAATCCACGGAAGTCTTTCAGAAAATTGCGTTTTCTACGATAATCACGGTGAAATGATGTAGCACAACTCTCGGCGAAACAATTTAAATGCTTAATTCTTTCAGGAGACGTGAAGGTCTCCAATTACAGTTTGAATGCGAAACTGAATGATGTGCAATGCAGCGAACAAGACGATATAAGGATGATGGGGATGTTCTTGATGTCCGTTTACGAAGGCAGGAAGTGCTCGAAACCACCGGAAACGGTGAAAACGGAAATCGCACATCTGAACAACTTTCTTGAAGCGTAATAATCGCAGTAGATATTTTAATGTTTTGTGTATCAGCTGTGATATTCAGGTGCTTCAATCCGAAGACTAAATCGTGCAGAGCGTTGATGAGGCATGAGCTGTTTAAAACAACCACGAAACTGGGTTCTTCGCGGTTGCAGAGCGACTTCCATTGCATGGAGAAAATTGGTAGCGGCGCGTATGGTAAAGTAATCAAAGCGAAGAATATATCTGACAATTTGGAATATGCTATAAAGAAGATAAAAGTGACAAGCAGAGATTACGAGACAAACGCAGATATTATTAAGGAGGTGCATTGCATTTCTAAATTAACTCATAAGTACGTAGTGAGGTATTATAGTTCTTGGACAGAGTATACAAGCGAAGAATCTGACGAAGAATCTCCATTTGAAGGGTATACGCAATTATCTATAGTTTTTGGAAATATTTATGTTTGTTTTTGCAGAGATGATGACGACTCTGAAGAAGACGACTCCAATGATAAAGATTTAGCGGAATATTCGAGACGGCAGTATCTTTATATACAAATGGAGTTTTGCGAAAAAAAAACTTTGTCTGAGGCAATTCAAGACGGATTGGAAAGTGACCCGAGAACAATGTGGAGGTTTTTCAAGGAAATCGCAATGGGTACAAGTAAAACACTTGCGCCGATTGTCATTTACTAATATCTATTGCAGGTTTAAGTTTCATTCATAGCAAAAGGCTGATACACAGGGATATGAAGCCAAACAACGTATTAATATGTAAAAACAACAAAATCAAAATCGGCGACTTTGGTCTGGCCAAGAGCTTATACATGAACAAATCTCGTAATGAAACATGAACATCTATATCAATTCAATTATCATATTTTTAATTAATAATTATTAACAGGCCCCGGGAACACCGGAAAGACACTTGATATTAACAAATTCTCTAGCTGCGTAGGTACCCCACCATATTCAGCACCGGAAATGTCCAGTGGAATTTACGATTTTAAAGTGGACATCTACAGTTTAGGTGTAATATTCTTGGAAATGAATTACAACTGCACAAAGACTGAACTATACGAGGTTCTGAACAATATCAATCATTCGCAAACATTCCCCGAGGCGATGACTAGCAATCTGGAGAAAGAGTTTATCATGTAAAGATAATTTATTTGTTTTGTGTATGTGAATTAACTGAAATTTTGTAGAAATATGTTAAGCAAAGATACCAGCAACAGACCAACCTCGGAAAAATTGGTACCAGATATACTAGATGTTATAAAGGGGTAATGCTTTTTTCTAGAAATCGTCAAATACAAAAATTTCTGATAAAAATGATTTCAGGATGAAACAGCAATTTAAGGGAAGGCGACAACAAAAAAAGTAATTTTATAAATATGGATCATAATTGAAAAAAAAATCATCCATAATATTTTATTACTATATTACAATTTTTATTATAATCTAACATTTTACCAATATTTTTTTTTAGTAATTATTGTACTTTTAATAACTGCTTCTGAAAATGCTTGTCTTTTGCAACAATTTCTACGTATTTTTATATAATGGTATGCTTGTATCTAATGGTATAGAAATGCTATAATTTTATTTATGAATTTGGTTGTGTAAATAAAATAGTAATTAAACGATTCCACCATAATAAATTTATTTAAAAATATACATTATTACATTAAAGTACCTTTCACGATACGAGGATATTACATAATCCATCAATTCAAGACGAGAATAAACAAAAAAGAAAAGAAGGTAGAATAGGATCCACTCGTAATAATTATGTACAGCAAATTGAATCTAATGTCCTTTTTCTTCCTTCGTTAGTTTCGTTTGCTTTGTTCCTTCGAACCTCTCTGACGCTCGAACGTTTGAGTTAATTAATTAATAATAATAAAAATAATAATAATAATGTGAGCATAATGACGAGTAATAAGGTCACTTCAGTGTGGGTATAGTAGATTAGACCAAAAACCTTTTCTTCTTTACATTAATTACATCAATCGATAATTATAACGTAATAGAGAAAACATAGAATGAAAGAAGAACGTCGAACGAAAAAATTAATTTAAAGCTATGTATATGTAATGTAATTTTTTTTCCATACATATATATTTAGATAAAATGTCTTAAATATATATATATTTATATTAAATAAATACCAACCCGTTGATTACGTATCTAAATATGTCATAACAGTTTAAATAATCTATGAAAAATAGAATAACAACTTAGGTAATTAAAAATTATATAAATATTTAACAAAAAGAAAAAAGAAAAAATAAATCGTCATCTAAAAACTACGGGTGTCGTCTTTCTCAATGGAATACTATTTCATGCGGTTTAAGACGTAGTCTGCCGCGACTATGAGGCCTTTCTGGTAAGGGCTCTCCTGCAGGAGATTAGCCAATCGGGCTGCTTCCTGGCAGTGCTGTTTCGCCAAGAACTGGGTCTGCTCGAGGCCCTGAGACTTGTGGACGAGCTCAAAAGCCTTCTCGACATCTCCCGGCTCTTGGAACCTTCTCATGATCATCGGGTTCAATTCGGGGTACTGAAAAAATGGAAGAAGTTACAGATTGCACGTGCATATTGTGTTGAGCTTAATCAACCTTTTCGCAAGCGAAGAGGACCGGAGCTGTGGCCAAGCCGAGCTTAAGGTCTGCCGCCGTCGGTTTTCCCATCGCCGAGGACGAGGAGACGAAGTCCAGCAGGTCGTCGACCAGCTGGAATGCTAGACCAAGGTTCCTGCCGTACTGGTAAGCAACTTCGGAGAGTTCTTCATCGCCTCCGGCGAGCATCGTCACAGACTTCACGGAGTTAGCTATCAATGAGGCCGTCTTTCTGTACGTCTTAGTGAGGTAGTGTGCGAACCTCTCGTTCTCCGTCTCCTTGGATCCGAGCTGCATGAACTCACCTTGCACCAAATCCGTGATCACCTGAAACGAGAAGCACATTAATGCATCAGCACAACTCTAATCTGCGCACAGTTCGAACACCCACCTGACTCAGCACCAGAGTCACGTCGTTGTTCCTCAATCGCGCGATCATCATCGAGGCTACGGCCAAAATGAAATCACCGGCCATCGTCACCTGAAGAACAAGACAAAAAAAAACAGTTATACAAATGTGTTTTTATTTACGATTATACAAAATATTGTTGTAGCCAACCTCTTTATTATTGATATAAACAACCCTATCGGCACTTGAAACATCCGCTTAGAGCAGAGGTTCCCAAACTTTTTTGTGTCGTAGACCCCTTGCCATGTTTTTCGGTTTTGGGAAGACCCCCTACTTACCAGATATTGATTTTTTTGTAAATTTATTATTTATATTGGGATATCTTTATAATTATTAAGATCTTTACTCTGAGACTGTGCATATGCTTGTACCAAGATGATACTGGTATATCATTATGTGCAGG